AGCCTATAGATTTGGGGGCAGCAGCCCATAGATTTGGGGGGGGGCAGCAGCCTTTAGATTTGGGGGCAGCAGCCCATAGATTTGGGGGGGCAACAGCCCATAGATTTGGGGAGAGGGGGCAGCAGCCCATAGATTTGGGGGGGCAGCAGCCTATAGATATATAGAAATGAACAGGAAGGGTCAGCAAGGAGCTTGAAGGTAAAGCAGCACAAAGGTAAAGCAGAAGGAGCAGAAAGGGTCAGAAATGAGCTGGAAGGGGGAGAAGGAGCACAAACATAAAGTACGAGAATGAGCAGGAAGGGCCTGCAAGGAGCAGGAAGGAGCACAAAGGGACAGCAAGGAGGACAAAGGTAAAGGAGCAGAAAGAATCAGAAGGAGCACAAAGGTAAAGTAGGAGAAAGAGCAGAAAGGGACAGCAAGGAGCACAAAGGTAAAGTAGAAAAGGTAGCAGAAAGGGTCTGCAAGGAGCACAAAGGTAAAGTAGAAAAGGGAGCAGAAAGGGTCTGCAAGGAGCAGAAAGGGATCAGAATGAGAAAGGAGCAGAAGGGCGCAAAATAAGCAGAAAGTAGCATAAAGGTAAAAGAGCAGAAGGGGCCAAGGATAGAAAACAGTGTCAGAATAAAAAAAAAAAGACTGTCAAATGAAGGAGAGGAAAAGGAGATTGGAGCAGGAAGGACAAATGAAGTGAACCCTCCACTTTATTCTGGACACCACATCATAAGGCTTTGGTACCTGGGCCTGGCAGGGAAACGCTGGACCTTCTCATCTCCAAAGGTAAAAAAATATCGGTGTTAATGTGTTCACTTTTATTTACTGAGTGTCAGAAAGCACAGAGTGCCGTTGGGTAGGGGTGTTGCTGATTGGCTAGAGCGGTCAGCTGGCACTCTAAGCCAATCAGTAGCTCCCCATTCATAAAAAAGTAAAAATATTTTATGAACCGGGAACTAGCAATTGGCTTAGAGCGTCAACTGACCACTCTAGCCAATCAGCGGCACCCATGCCTGACGTCAATCTGCACTTCCTGACACTCTGTTTCAGAAGCCAAATACCACTGAGCGACCTGGAGCTGGAGGAAGCCTTTGGGGTTAAACCATTTGAGAGCGATTTAACCCCTTAAAGGAAAGCGAGCACCCAGGGGCTTCCTGGCATCATAGCATTTTCATTTAGGTGAAGTTGTTATGGTGACCAGAAATGTCCTTTAATTTGCTTAAAGGAACACTATAGTGTCAGGAATACAAACATATATTCCTGACACCATAGTTGTGAAAACGCTATTCACCCTGGCTTTATGTGATAATGGCTATGCCCCTTCCCTTTCATGACACTGTCAAAAAGGTACCAAGCATGGATGTCATTACAATTATGCCCCCCCCTGGAAAAATTCCTGCGGACGCCCATGACTCTGTCCTGTCTGCAAGTTAGGGTTTCCTAGTGAACGTTACAGAAACAGGGGCTGTTTTTTATCTCAGATTTTAGAGACATTTAGACATTTGCTAGCAATTATGCTGACACAATGTATTGATGGAATTTGATTCTCTATCATTTCAGATTAAGTTCAATTTGTCATGACAGGTATGCTTTAAATAATGTAGTAATCAAACATTGCTTGCTTTATATGATAAAACTATTATAACTTTTTTTGTCCTAAACAGTTATCTGTCTGTATTGCTTGGTCTTTCCTGCAAATACTTATAATATGATGTGATGTATTTTGATGTGACATGTAAATAGTTAAATATCACTAAAAGTAGGTAAGTATCCCCTTGCTGAAGTTATCATTTTATGTACATCTTTTTTTTTTTTTTCCCAATATAGGAATAAGAGGTTCTACATTTTGCCCCTTTTTCATTTTGTGATTGAACTGTAGAATAACGCAATGCAAAAAACAAGACCATGTGTTGCACATTTTTCAAATGCTTGGAAAATTATTACATTTTTCCTCTATAAAAGTGTTTTGTAAAGGTGAATTAATCACAATTATAAACCTGTACATAGTGATGTACAGCATACAACGCTGACACCTGATGAAATCTCCCCCCCACCCCCCTTTTTGAGGGAGTAACTAGTACATATTGTATAAATGTTTAACTTTCGATTTCCTTTATTATAAGATTGTCTTATGAAGTTGCTGCCATTACAATCATAGTTTCCATTGTGGAACGCATCTCAGTTTATGGTGGAACGCATTTAGCGTTGGGATGATCAAACCAGAAATTGAAGTACATGTGGAATGTATACACAAGCCGATGGAACGCAAACCGGAAGTATTGATTTCGACCGCGAAAATTTCATAGTGGCGAGTGGAAACAGCTGATGGAGGATATACTAATGACCTATAGGAATCCTTCACCTCTCCATCGACCAATAGAACCTCTCAGGAACTTGGATCACATCTGGATTGCATTCTAATTAAGACTGTTTAATGGTTGTATTTAAAGGGTGTTGGGGGGTGGGATCAGGTATGCATTTTTTGTGTATTGCTGTGCAGTCTTTTTGTTGCTGTTCAGGTTACGTTATTTTATCTCTGATGAAGTCCACTGCGTTGGACGAAACGCGTTAGATCCATTTTATATATTTTATCCATTAATTCTTATTAGGCAGTTTGTTGCCTCAATAAATTTATACTTTGCTCTACAAGCGAATTTTTTCATTTGCATCCTGATTCTGCTACCTGATATTCCTGGACCAGCTGCATTACCCTGAATGGTGGAAGGCGGACCAGTATAATCCATTTATGGATTTCAAGGCATCCATTTGATTTCAACTCTGTGGGTGCTACTTATGATTTTTCGTGTCAGCGTTGTATGCTGTACATCACTATGTGCTGTTTTTTTCTTACTTTATAGTACCTAGCTGTATCCCTATTGTTATCCATATCCAAACTATTTATTCAGACAGATCAGTTTTTTACTTTTACTTTACAAAAAACAGTGTATGATTTCAGGGATTAATTAAACAAAAATAAATTTATAATTGTATTTTACTAGAAAAAAAAAAAGTGCTCAGCTTTCTTCAGCGCAGAAAAAGCTCAGAAACTCCCAGCACCGACAAGGTGTTAATAGAATGTATCAGAGAAAAAAAAAAAAAAAATTGTAATATATTTCATTTACGTGGTTTTATTGTTTATTTTCCAATGAAACAAGAGTATAAATGAATACTTTTCACAAGAAATTTGCCATTTGGATTTGTTTTGTTTCAGCTATTCCTAGCTGCCTTCTTTGTTGAGGGATCTGCTGGGTCGTCTTATCTCGCTACTAACTCCAGAGTTTATTTAGTGAGCAGATGATTGATGACCTTGAAGTTTATAATTACACTAATTGTACCAATGCCAAGGTCTGCAATGTGAATAACCCCAGCAGAATTTAGATATGAAAATGTTCAAACAACATGATGCGTTTCAGGACTAGTTGGCTACAGATAAGCACAGGTGTGATCAATCAAAAAAGGTATTTATTTATCAGCATTTCTAGTTACCAATTGTGGACCAATGGAATAGAAAAAAATCATCAAAATTCTTAGAGCAAATCAATGCTGCATTTTCTCCGGAGAACTGTAGACATTTTTAATACTTAACTTAAACAGACGTAAAGGAAACAGTGAAGGTAGCGCTCGTTTTGTTTATTTTTTGTTGGTAGTTTTTTGGGTTTTGTTAGAAACAAAGCAAATTTTTTCACATATTTTTCTTTTTTTTATAATTATTTTTACTTTGTCATGTGCATGAAGGGTATTGCACACAAAGAATAATTGTAGAGTGTGAAACAAAGACTTTATAAAATGCACTAGCACAATAGCAGCATTAAAGTGCAACACAGAAAAAGTGCACCATTTATTTAGATCACTTTATTGTGCTACAGTTCTCCTACATCTGGTATTAGTTAATGCAAACTAACCCTCCCCTCCCCCATCCCCCCATATCTGTCTCTGGTTTAGGTGGATTACCTGAGGTCCAGAAGTGCTGTAGGCAATACTGGACTTTCCTTGTCCTCCCCTGCATCCTCACTCTCACACTGGGAGGAAGTGATTTGCTGTGCAGGAGAACAATGGGAGCGGTCACCATAGCTCTAAAGTGCTGGTTCTTTCCCAAATCTGGAATGTGGTCCGGCTAGGGTTGATATGTGTATCTACCCATCAGGACCCCATAGCCCTAGCGACCCCAGGTTATAACCGCTTTTTGTAATGAAGTAGGGTCTGTCACCAACCAATGGCGGCCATGCCGATAACACCAACTACAACCAACAACAGCTGGGGTGCACATTGTGAAAATTGCTTCTTATAGCGTATATTCCCATCATGATCAGATATCAGGCAGAAATGAGCACTGGCTAAATAAAACTGCATTCATTTATAAAGATAAACATTTATTTTAATTCACACTGGCAGCAATCCATTTTATAATATTTGCTTCTATTAACAATGAAACAATGACTAAAGTAGGTGTTTAAATGGACTCTATAGTCACCAAAACAACTTTAGCTTAATGAAGCAGTTTTGGTGTATGGATCATGTCCCTGCAGTCACACTGCTCAATTCTCTGCCATTTACGAGTTAAATCACTTTGTTTATGAACCCTAGTCACACCTCCCTGCATGTGACTTGCACAGCCTCCCTAAACACTTCCTGTAAAGAGTCATCTACAATTTATCCTTCCTTTATTGCAAGTTCTGTTTAATTTAGATTTTCTTATCCCCTGCTATGTTAATAGCTTGCTAGACCCTGCAAGAGTCTCCTGTATGTGATTAAAGTTTAATTAACAGAGAAAGAGATACAATTGTTTAAGGTAAATTACATCTGATTGAAAGTGAAACCAGTTTTTGTTTCCATGCAGGCTCTGTCAATCATAGCCAGGGGAGGTGTGTTAGAGGTGCATAAACAGAAACAAAGTGATTTAACTCCTAAATGACAGTGAATTGAGCAGTGAAACCTGAGAGGCATGATCTACACACAAAAACTGCTTCATTAAGCTAAACTTGTTTAGGTGACTATAGTGTTCCTTTTTATTTCTTTATCATTGCAAAGCATAAAACATTTTTACCAATGAAACCCAATTTGATAGATATGATGACGTCAGAAAACAAATGTAAATATATTTCAAAACGACACTTTTCAAAAAATGAACATGTACAAATAGCTAATAATAAAAATAATAATATAAGTAGTAAATAGTAAAATCCCAAAAATGTCACTCTGTGAGGCACTGTTAAAACAGGTACAAAATAAAATGGCATAGCCTCTTTTTTTTACAGTTTGCCGGGTAATGAGAAGAGTGGATGGCGAGGTCAAAGTATATTCTTTTTACCATTGCTAACATATTTTTCTCATTGACTTAAGGTACATTTGGCAGCTGCTCAGCATATTTCAGTTTGGAATGATCCTTCCTCCACCGCTGCCAATTATTTTCACCCACTAACTTATTGTTTGTATGCTTGGCTTCGTTCCCAGCTATGGCAGGTGTTTTCTCAATTAAATAGTGTAAAAACGCCAAGGTGCCAAGCATCCGAGTCTCCCATGCCTACAGTTCTGAATTCGGCCAGCTGCACACTTTATTAAAAAGCCAACGTAAACAAAGCTATTTGCTAGGTGCTTATTATCGCTGTGAGCCTCTGCATGACTTGAGATATGACTCCCTCCCTTCACTGGTATTCTACACAAATAACAAGTGAGGCTAAGCATCGATTGAACAGGAAATAGAGAAACTTGACAAAAACAGCTGGGAACGTCTGTCACCAAGGCTTGGAGGCTGCTGCCTGTGAACACTTACTTAGAACTATTATGAACAGAAAATATATTTTGGGACGTGACTTCATGAAGAAGTCCTTGGGCTGGAAAATGGATCAACAGAAAATAGTTACTTTAGGCTCATTAGGCAACATGAGGCCATTCCTTTTTAAATGGATTTGGGCATTCCAAGTAGTTTACGGACCTATCCAAGGTAGCACATGTAGTAAATCTGTATGTGAGTAAGGATGGGTGGAGTGAATTCAGTTAGAGATGAGAAAAACAGCTATTTGCACCGATCACGTACAATAAGCATATGTTGTTATGGTGCTTGGAAGAACCCTTTATAAATGTGTTACATTTAAATCTTTACGTAATAGTGTGTATTACTTTGTGCGAGTATACTGTGGGAATGCCTGCTTTTAGGTGTAAGCATACAGTCAATATCAATGTATGTGTATATTGTTTACATAGAGGAAGTGTGAATATATAATTGCATTTGCTGGTAACATCAGTAAATGTGATAACAGGGGTTTATTTTAAGGATGTGTCAGTATGTGTGAATAAAGGGTTGTATTTCAGATTAGTGTGTACATGCAGGGTGATATTTTAGTTTGCTGTGTGAATGCAGGACAATATGTGTGTTTTGTGAGTTAACACAGGGATGCATCCATCTAGAATCTCAATGTCAAGGTGTGTGTCAATATGGTGTGAATGTAATATGTGAGCAGTGTGTGAATGCATATGTGTACAAAATCATAGTAATGTTATGTGCAGTGTGTGAATCTGAATCCAGTTTTTCTTTTTATCCTCTCTATTCCAAATCATGTGTTTCTCTTTATGCCCCCTAAATTTGGGGAGAGCAAAAACGGCCTGCCCTTCGGTGGGTCCCTGTTCAGATGCTCAGATCTCAAGCTGGTTTTAGCTCATCTTGTGCCATTGCAAAGAGAACCAGGACCATTGGCATGTCAGAATGACCCCACCCAAATTGCGGTCCAGATCCAAAATGTAGGCCGGCTCTCTCTGCACAAGAGATACAGCAACCCTAGAGGATCGTTTTAGCCTTGTTAAGCCTCGTCAATGAGATATAGTCAATACCCCTCTAGGCACCATGAGCAGGGGTAACACGTGTGGATTGCCCTTTTAGCTTAGGGAGAGCAAAAAAACAAGGTGCAAGACAATACTGAATACAGACAATAGCTTAATTAGCTAGCTCTTTGGGTGGTCCTTATGCCCCTAATCTTCTATATCTCTTTATCTTTATCCTTTCTTGTGAGTCTCTCTCCATCTCCACTCCCTTGTAGTCAGTCCTTGATGTATGCCTCTCTCCATCTGCAAACATTGAGTGTCTCTCTCCATCTCCTGTGTGCGTGTTTCAATTTCTTTCCCACTTGTGTGGTCCTCTCCATCTCCTTTGTTTTATATTTGCAGCCATTTCCTTAAAGGAACACTATAGTCACCTAAATTACTTTATCTAAATGAAGCAGTTTTAGTGTATAGATCATTCCCCTGCAATTTCACTGCTCAATTCACTGTCCTTTAGGAGTTAAATCACTTTGTTTCTGTTTATGCAGCCCTAGCCACACCTCCCCTGGCTATGATTGACAGAGCCTGCATGAAAAAAAAACTGGTTTCACTTTCAAACAGATGTAATTTACCTTAAATAATTGTATCTCATTCTCTAAATTGAACTTTAATCACATACAGGAGGCTCTTGCAGGGTCTAGCAAGCTATTAACATAGCAGAGGATAAGAAAATATTGATTAAACAGAACTTGCAATAAAGAAAGCCTAAATAGGGCTCTCTTTACAGGAAGTGTTTATGGAAGGTGTTTATGTGCAAGTCACATGCAGGGAGGTGTGACTAGGGTTCATAAACAAAGGGATTTAAATCCTAAATGGCAGAGGATTGAGCAGTGAGGCTGCAGGGACATGTTCTATACACCAAAACTGCTTCATTAAGCTAAAGTTGTTCAGGTGACTATAGTGACCCTTTAACACACACATTTGGAGCTCCATCCTACCCACAGCCCAATACCTTTTGAACTGGCACATTGGGGCCCTTTTGGTCCAACATACTGTGGAATGAGATAGGACACAGAAAGGAAAAACCAAGTGCCACAAGTCAATAGTAGCTGCACACTCAAAGATTATCAACAAAACAGACAAATTATATAGAATTTGAATATAATCCCATGATCGAGATATAATCTGCAACAGTTCAGCTCCTAAGAGCCTTTGTCAAACCTGCACCTTATATCTCAATAAATATGTCTGTGATTATATCCAGTTTGTTCTTGGTCTTTTTCTGTTTTGTGGACAGCTAAAGTGTGACCTGGTTAAGAAGTCCTGATCCCCCCCAGACAGCCTGCGATAGCATATTAATGGCTGGGCCCCTAGCAGCCTCAAGTACCCAGTCCATAAACGATTTCGCAAAGTACCCTGTCTGATGGCCTGTAATCATCTGCCAGCTGGTCTAAAGTTTATTCCCTAAATTGTTCTAATGCAGCTGCTAATCTTCGTTAATTATCCAGCACAGACAGTTCTACCATAAAAGGAAACATAAACTGCTGCACCAATTCTTTGAAGCATATTCACTAAACAGCAACTTACAATGAACAGAAAAGCAAATTGCTAAATTTTGACCCAAATAACCGACTCAGAAAGATTCCCCACTTCTCACATTTTGGCTAATTTAGCCTGAATTTTGCCTTTTTTTTTTTTTTTAACTTCACTACAATTCTGCTTTTACTGGATAATCCCCATTAAAATTTGATGTGTTTTGCAATAACTCGTTTCCCCACAATACTTATCACATGTTCGGTGCTGCTGGGAATATCTAGATTTTAATACAATAGTAGCCATGTCAAAGAAACATGTCAAGCAGTAAAAAAAAAAAATACTTGGCCGTTTGGTTTGTTTACAGTGCAGATGTTTGCTCCCAGACATTCAGACATGATTTGATACGGTTTACTATGATGGCATTGTGGGTCAATCAGCAGAATGTATTTTGAGGCACTGTAGACATATTAAACAGCAGTTATTATCATTTGTAAGAGATCACTTACTTAAAGTAACAAACAGAATTCCCTCATTGTGTTTATTCATTCTAGGGGGATTGATCAATGAAACGGAAAATATTTGTTAGCGAAGTTTCTAGTTTAAACAAATTTACTTACAAATATTTAGAGTTGCTTCAGTGAAAAGCTGACAAGCTGTATTTGTGCATTGCAGGTGGCTCTCCCTTTTCTAGATTAGAAAAACTGTATTTTTCTTCTTTTCAGTAAAAAGGGGGGGGGGAGTGATTCTGTGGTGCACCTTTTACTTCCTGGAATGTATCCAATGTACAAATCATTTCTCAAATTTTTTGTGTGTGTGTGTGTGTGTGTTTTATTTAAACATAGCCCATAGAAATGAAAATATATCAAATCCGTTTCTTGTATGCGATTATTTACATACATATTACATAAATATTTGGGAATTCAAGAAAAGAGACTGACTAAGGAAGATAAACAAGATCACAGTGCCTGAGGGATACATTTGTCAGGCCATCCTGTTCATACAGCCTAAAATATGCTAGATACTTGTTCTCAAAAATGTGTAACTGTGTACATGTATCAGGGCCTCGCTCCAACACTCATCTACCTCACGCTCCCACGCCACGTCTCTCTCTCACTCCACGAGGACGCAGTGTCAAAGTGCGACCCCCCAAGCAGCGCGGTCGGACCGCTCACGTTCATGCGAACAGTACCTCTGTTAGTTCGAACGCCACTCACCCGATACAGAAGACTGAACTTCATGCATACGAATTCCACCTCTGTGGATTTCACTCACGTATACTGCAGGCAGAACTCAATTCGTATGGGCGCCAGCTCCCAAACACAGCAAGAACAGAAGTCTGTTCATGAGAACGCCGCTGCTTCCATGTGCGGCCACACAGAAGGTAGAACTTCAAGGGAATCAAAGGGTGCGCGTGCGCCGACCCAGAGCCTTTTAAAGTTACAGGATGTGGAGACCGGGGTGAAACCTTAATTAACAAGACCACCCACTTTCCCTATTTAAGTCACACACACCCTTCCCTCTTTGCTCAGCTCCTGATTATGTAAAGACCTCCAGAGACTGTCCTGCTGTATCCTGATCCTGATATTGACCCTTGCCTGTATCATCACTTCTGAACCTGTGTCGCCTGTCCTGACCTTTGGTTCCCCCACTACTCTCTTCATCTGATCCTTTGGTACTGCGAACTTGGTCCATTACCTTCAGCACCTATCTCCATCTTGGGCTCCATCCCCTAAACTGTGAACCCAACAACATAACTTGTATATACATCCAAGCAATGGAATTATTCCATCATGGTGGCATATCTCCCAACAATCTGGAATTCGATGAGACATTCCCTAATTGGGTCTTCTGCCCGGTAATCCTGGGTTTGTTCCCTGTTGTCCTGCCTCTAGAGACACCAGGGATATGCCACCACAAAGCTTAATCTGAGTGTAATATAATATGATCATATTATATTATGATGTTGGCTCAGAGCATGAAGCCATCAGAGGTGTGTTGTGCATATGCTGCCTTAATTGGCTTATCCAGAGTGGCAGTGAATGTCTGAGCCTAAAGTTCCTATGATTAAATAATGTTTTAATAGCTTTTGCACCAGCAGAGGCTGTTTAACTTTTGGTACCAGGGACATCCATGTATTGGCCGCTTTCTTGATCCCCACTCCATCTCTTGAATAGACCAAATAATTGGCTTCCACCCAGGGTAAAAAAGCTGTGTCTCAATCAGCATACTAATATTAAAGCCATATTACTTTATCCCATCAATTAATGGTTGGCATTACATACCAAGGGAGAGAAGCGGCTAAGGCACTAAGACGTTTTGTGCCCAACAGCACTTCCCAGAGAATTTCCCTCCATCAGAACCCCAGCACTCACCATTTCACAGTCATTGTCAACCAAATTTATATTTATATAGATAACGGGAAATTCCTCAATATCTCATTGAAAGAAGATGGGTGGGTTTTTGGTGCTGGAAGAGGCTTGTTTTTATGTCAAATCCCTCGAAAAACATTTTCTCAAAAATCAGATGAGCTAGAGCCAAAGACTTCTTGTACTATAACCACCATAATAAAATTGATTATGGTGCCTAGAATGTCCCTTTTACAGTGAAATGTTTAGAATTTTACAGTCTACAACTGCTGTGAAATACAGTAGTACCTCGGTTTACGAATTTAATGCGTTCCTTGGGACGTTTTGTATTGTGAAAAATTTGTAAACCGAAATGTGGTTTCCCATAGTAATGCATTGAAAACCAATTAATCCGTTCCAGAGGTCAGAAAAAAGTCTAAATGAGCTGGCATGGAAACCAACCCACAATGCAGAACACACAATAAAAGGCATACAAACGACGAAGCTCAGCTCACTACCTTTCCACCGCTTGAGAAATGCACCCAAAAAGTTCCAAAAAGTCCCAAAACCGCTGCAAAACAATTCCAGAATGGCTCCAAAACTCGATCCAAAAACCGCTCCAACACCTCCACACTCGACACCTTGTGCTAACCACAGACTCCAGCAGGCACGTAGGTGGCGCTATAAACCTCCCAGGCGCAATGCATTCTGGGGAAACTTGAATTGTATTGCGAAAAAATTTTTGTAAACAGAGGCATTATTTTCAATGGATTGTCATTTGTAAACCGAAAATTATGTTAACCGAGGCATTTTAAACTGAAGTACCACTGTACAGGGATACAAATGGAAATAAATGTTGATTTAGCCTACCAGGGGTTCCACCCATCTTTTGGAACAAAATCACTGCTTTAGACTATTAGACTTAAAAAAGATGGTCAAATCCAAGAGACAGACTTACACATGGTGTTAACAATCCTCAATATATACGATACATTACAGAGAGAGTTATCACTGTAAAACCTGTGCTATTCTCGGTGCAAAACATTGTGATACGTTGTTTTGGTTCCCTTTTGGTAATCGTTAATTAATTAGCACTTTGCCCTAAAATACAAACTGATCTTGATCTGCTATATCTCCCCCAACATCCATTATAAGTAAGTAGGTAAGTAGGAGGATGCTGGGAAGTGTGTCAGTGTATGAAGTATTATGGGATATGAAGTCCAACAGCTGCAGACCCTGGTTTGTTCACCGCTGCTGTAAAACTTGGATGGAAGTATCAGGCTCTGCCAGAGTTATCAGAACAACCTAAATCTAAAATAATTTGCTCATTGTTAAAATGGCAAGCAGTAAATAAAACATCCTTGTAATAACTTTATTTTTAGAATTTAATGAAAACGTTTGCCGGGAAAGTGTTTGTTCCACCCCCCTTAAAACTTTTCATTCCAAACGCTCATGATTAATAACTATAGCTACTAACTCCCTCATAAAATGCTACTTTGTAACACATGTCAAGACAGACGATCTTGGATAATTGTACACATTCTCAGATTAAAAATAAACACACTGCGCTGTCTTGTGGGGAAGCAATGCTTACCATCCTGTAGCTATTATAATGGGAGTAGAGAGATCAAACATGCACAGAGCTCATTACGAGTGAAGTTAAATGTTTGAAGGGTGTCTTACTGTTCCCACAGGCGCTTTTTTCTTTCTTTTAGTCTTGTTGCTGTGAGAGCTGTCATTAAAAATGTATTTCGCTCCCTTATTCTCAAGAGTTGCCATTTAACATTTCATCACCGCGATTTCAGTGATAAATGGGAATATTTCCACAAGGTAGATCAAATGATGGCATGCTTCATGCCAGTTTTGAAATTCTACTATTCCCCAAACTTGAGTATTGCAGAATTCTTGTAGTAAGTGAACCGGGACATCAACTAATTTGAAGCAAAAAATTGTTCCCTGTGGTGAGACCAAAAAAAACGAGTACATCTGTATGTTATAGAAACTTTTCAAATATGCAGATGAATAACACTTACCAATGCCTGAAAAGATGATATATTTTATATATATATATATATACATAATGTAGTATGGATGTAGTAATTCAGGATGAGTAATAAACTGTGTTTAGATCAAATGTTTTAAATTTTGGATAAAACCCTGAAATTTTGGACAGCTCCCTAATTAGCCGACACAATGGGTTATTTCTGGAATCATATAACATCTATGCAAGAATCTCAAAAGCATTACAGAAAACGGCATGCTTTAATTCTCTTCAAAATGTCAAAAATAAGATTTCTTACATTATAACCCGTGCTTTATTCACTTTATCAGCACTCATGGTTTCAATTTAGCTTCAAGGACTGACAACAGTACTTTTTATAAGAGGGTCATAGTGTACATTCAAAGCTGCCTTTAGATAATGAGCTGTAACATATTTTGAAGCAGACTTGTCTCTAAAATGTTTGTCACGTAAATTTGTTTAAAACAACCGACTCATTTTAATTTTATTTAACCAAGCTCTAGCTGTAATTCTTAACACTTGTCAGATTTTTAAATGTTGAGCTGTCATCTTTTGCAACATGCAACACTATTCACACCCTTGGCGACTGTTACTGATGTAAATAAGAAGATAGGATAAGACAAAGACAGTATGTAATACAATGGAACCTCGGAACTCGAACCTAGTCCGTTCCAGAAGGCTGTTCGAGTTTTCCAATTTTGAAGATTTAACAGGTTAATGAGTTGGATGGGTCTTAAGGGATGCATGTGGTAGGTGTGTCTCAGCAGGGGAAATTAACCCTCCCTCCCTAGTATGCGACCAACCACATGTATCAATAGTGAGTTCATCAAGTTTCGCACACTCCCAGTGTATCAAGCCAATTATTTTGCTATAAAGAGTGTAGTAGATATGTCGGATATTGTAAAGATGAGTAAGCAAGTACTCAAATGTGAGTAGTTATGGTAGCAATGAGTTTATCAATGAGAGGTTAATGCAGTGTGTTTTGCTCTCGTACCGATACATTTTTTTCTTAAACATTTTGTTCAACTATTGAATTGTTTGTGTAAGGGACTGTTCAAGTTCCAAGGTTCCACTGTATAAGCAGAATTTGTTATTTTTCTAAAAAGCTACGGGGTTTCCTGTTTTCATTAGAAAAGAAATGATGTAGTGATGTTGTGTGCTGAACATGGCCAACTAAAAACAAAGATGAGGCCTCTTCCACTCAGTTAAATATCAAAGTGCTGAACAGATATAAAAACGATCAATACAAGATGAAGGTAATTTTAAAGTGATATTTGATAATATACAGGAAAAATTTGTTATGGCCGACTCATCCAAATCAAGCTCTTTTTCATCCACACTCTTAAGAGTCTATTCGCTCGTGATTTACCTGTGGAGTCTTGCTCATTGAATAGGACTTCACAGGTAAATCCTGATTGATTTGTCTGAGTGTGGATTAAAAGGAATTTGAATTGTACCAACAAGCTGAAATGGATCTAATATATAAACAGTTTCTGATGATAATACCACTTTAAATGTATACTGGGGATAGCTGGTAAAAGATAACTGATCTCTGGAATCAACAGTACGCTGGAAAAGCATTTAAGCATTTTAATCCATCTGTAGGGTATCAAAACTTGAGGAATTTGTAATTTTACAACATCTGTTAGAATGCTCGTTGAATAACTTTGCTTCTAATGGATTTGCACATTCAGTTTCTACCTAATTGCACTTCTTCTAAATTTTGGACAATTGGCGGGTCGGACAAAATCCGTAACTCCGAACCGAAGGCATAGGTTGTTTCTGATTCATGGAACCAAAAAAAAAAAGATGATTGATGTTGGGGGACAGTCACTAGGAAATAAAGAAACCAGGTGTAACGGATCGCCTGGCACCCCGACTGGGTATCTCCGTTGAAGGATGCTCCTAGCGCTTCCTGAGGACTCCAAGCACTCTGGCAGACACCACAATCACCGAACCGGAGAAACAAATAAATTCTCCCAAGCATATGAATGCTGCAGACAGTTGAATAGGAACCATACGAATAGGTTTACTCTCCTAGCAGTCAAACTGGAACAGCATACAATAAATCCTTCCCCCAATAATGAGACGACACTTCACTTTGAGGGTTAAACAGGAACTAACTGTACTGGCACATACAGCCTCTTTTATTCCCAATCCACAAACTTAGTACTGCCCACAGGGTTTTACAGAACAACCAATCAATCTGTACAATACACACAGACACTCCCACACAAAATCCTCCCCTCTGCCTGTAATACAATTACCTTACACAATGGGTAATCTAATTATCACAGACAGAGAAATACAGTTTCATAAAACACATCACAGGGACCCCAAAACATGCAATAACCCTATAAAAAGTATATCCTTGGAACCGGGGGATCTGGGTGAACCACATATCCAAAATTCACCCAGATCCGTTCAGTACTTTGGAAAATACAGTTTAATGCAGATTCTGCAGAACATATACAGGCTAAATAAAAACAATCACTGTATAATGTGTCCCCTGCTGTATAGTCCAAAACCACCGCACGATGTCTCTGTGCAACAAATACTGGCGAGATGGCACCGTGTTGAAAAGTCCACAGAGTGTCTGTGAGTTAAAATGGCCGCCATCCATTGTTCTCACCATGTGCTTCTGATACAGGAAATGGTGGCCACCCAGTAACTCCACAGTATGTCCCCAGATGGTTCTTAAAGGGCCAGTAGCAGCACAACACAAATCCATTATGCCCAAATCATGTCTTTAAAGGGCAATACATCCCAGGGGCCATAGTCACATGGCAGGAGGCTGGCAACCAGGCTTCTCCAGTGCATAGTGGCGAGGTTGGTTCCGCCACACCAGGGATCTGCTGGACCAAATCCTTAAAATTTGTAGACCGAATGTAATTTGAATGGTAAAATACCAATCTATCCAGTCATAATTTGGATGAATTTTTTTTTTTTTTTTTTTTGGACTGTAGTCAGCTTCAGGAAATAAGAATGGCTATACATGTATGTACAATATATTTAATATTAGATATAACTATTATGTATATATTTTGCAGTCCACTAATTGGCCAATTTTCACTCCCTTTTGGTCTGCCAAAGTAATTTATTCTAAATCATTTGTAAGGACGAGATTCCGATAACCCAAGCCTCTGCATGGATGACATTCTGTCAACTGAACATTTTTTATTTTTTTTTGATAAATTGATACTGCCAAACCAAAGTTGTATGCCTTGCACGAGTCTAGCTCCTAATGCAGTGTCTTATGTATCGCCACCAGTAATAGTCTAAAATAATGTTATGTAGTTGTTTAGCAATATAATCAAGTGAATTCTTCTTTTCTCTGCTCTAAATTATTTATGTAAAGAAGTTTGTGGATCATAAAATTGATGAGCTTCTTTTTTATTCTGAAAGCACAGGGGAATAAATTTCTCTTAACTTAACTGGGAATTCCATATTACAATAACAAGGAGAGATGCAATTAAGATTCGCATTTCGTTCGTAACATTTTTACTTAATTTTCTAAAGTCGTTGTTCATTTGGGGCCATGAAAAATTTCAGTTCAGTTAATCTGTGATGTTTCTATAGATGTTCTGATGATAACTTATGGGTAGATCTGAGTGGATATGTCACCTAAAACTATGTTCAGCCATAGAAAAACATTTGGTTCATCTTCTGAAGATTTTAGAATAGACGATGTTAGACTTTAAAGGGAAATTGTAGCCACTATAGCCATTTAATCTCTTTGAAAAAAAATAATAATAAAAAATCCTTTAGAAAAAAGTAAAATAGGTTGAAGGAGAGTCTACTTGACGCCTTATACAGGCGAAACGCGTCAGGTGGGCTCTCCTTCAACCTATTGAACTATTCTATTATTTTGTTTAATAAAAGCTTACTTTTTATAGCTTTTTGCTTTTTATTTAATTATATTATTGTATTATTTTGCTTCCTGGAATCTACACATCCTTAGGTGGGGATTATACCACCCATGCTGTTCATACAAGAGCAAGTCTTGCTCTAATAAATGTAAGTGCATTATTTTATTCCTCTAATATATGTATAGTACTTACTTCCCCATTTGAGTTTTTCTTCTCATTTTGTCTCCATATATACCTTGCACACTGCATTTGGAGCACCAATACTACCTACACCACCAAATATCCTTAGACGGGGATTGTACCGTCCATGTGCAACACAGCTGAGCTCTTAGTTAGCTCAAGTAAAGGTGAGTGGATACCACATAATATTTTGATTTGCACTTGAATATACTGTATTGTACTATTATTGCGTCCTGTTGTTCTGTCATTTTGAGTACCATACCATCCAAAGTTATATGTACATATAATTCCTTGGGCGCGGTATATGCCATTTTTCTGTTTGCTCGTTTTATTTATAGTTTAGTATATATTTTTTTATAGTTATTTTCAATATTTTTTTAAATGTCACCTTTATTCTGTAGCCCATTTAGCTGTGTAGGATTATTTAATTTTTACTATTAGATTTGCTCTATGTGTTATCTGTATTTCCTTGGAGATGTTCTGAGTATTTAGGTGTATCTGTGACAACATACTGGCAGTCTAAATCACAGTTACATTTCTGACTAAAATATGTTTTACTTTTCTTACGTACAAACATGCTACTCTGTATACATCATACCGCTACACAGTTTTGTTACGTTTGGGAACAAAGTTCACCCATAGATGTACATACACTGTGCCATTGATTTCAAACCTACCGATCTAAATGGACAATCTTGACACTGCAGGTCTAGAACTGCACCTACCTTAAGGATAGCTGAGCATCATGGATGATGTAAATCTGTGAACGTATGTCTACAGTGTACACTTTGCATCCACTGCTCTAGAAAAACACTATTCATTTAGTTTTTCCACTGTTGGATCCAATGGAAAAAGGAAACTTGGAGTGAACAAAGAACGCTGAAAGTACCCTCTGCAATGAATGAATATTTGAGAACAAATGCCCTCTGTTCACTGGAGAATAAACTATTTGTTCCTTGGGAACTATAAAATATAATGCGAAGAAAACACCACTGTACTGTGTGTTCTTCTGATCTCATGCTTCGAAAGAGCAGATCATATCTTATTCCTCTGGAATGTTATTGTATGTCAGTTACTGTACTTCTTGTTTAAGTTACAGTGCTGTTTAGCCAGTGACAGTGGGATGGACTCGGAGGGGATGTCTATGTATCAAGAGACAGGTTTAAATTGTCTTTTAATAATGCTGTCAGTGATTGATGACAAGAATTACAAGCATTTTTGGTTTACGTTACTTTTTTTTTCTAAAGGTAAGGAGCACTTGAAAAATACAATTTGCATTGCTGTACGAGGCTACGAGTGTATTCGGTGAAATTTCATTTAAAAGTGATCTATTTCGTTTCTTTGGATTTCAGTATTTTTATGATGATGACTCTTCTCTCCCCTGGCCTCTCTCCTTCCCTTCTGGAAAGTGTCATCAGCCTACTATCCCCCATCTCTCATGTGATAACTGCACTATTTTTCTGGAATTCAATCTGCCAAACTGAATCTCTTGCCTTTGCTCATTAAATCGCTCATCGTTCTTCATCTGTATCCTGTTAGGTCAATGGTGCTACCATCAACCCAAGCCCACAGACTTGCTTGGGGTCTTCTTTGACTGTGACCTCACTTTCATTTCACACATTCAATCTCCAAATAATTCTGCTATCAGTTGTAAAAGATAACAGTTAATATCGAGCCTAAAACCTGATGCAGTCAAAGTACTTGTCCACTTGTGTCCAGATTGATTGTTAGAGTTCATAATGTATGTTGCAGGCTTACCTACCAGTAATGGTGCTCCTTTCACTCTTTACCATTCTCATAGTCCATACAATAGCTGCCTATGAGTTTGCCATTTAATTTAGTATTATAACGCATACCTATGCAGGAATCCCCTGGCTACGAGGCGTTAACTAATTGGGATGCTGAAGGAGTAAATTAGGGATTTTGTCTAGCCATTACCACCTCTATGTTTTGTACACCCACACAAATAGTTGTGCACACCACACACCCAATCACAAGGACATCAAGAATACAGTACGTCCTATGATAAACCTATATAGAAATTTCAGAAGAGCAGGAAAGTACACATTACTGGACAAGACTTAATATTAGAGATCTAGGAGTATGGGTATGAGATAAGAAAGAGTACAAGTCAAATCAAATTTGGAAAAATAGAATACAGTATAAAGATCTATTGGGAATACAAGAAACCACAACAGGGCAACTGAATGAATGTAAAGTTAGTATTTATATTCTGTCATTTATTGCTATTGGCCAGAGTCATTGCTGTGTGCAGAGAATGTTGCTACATGACGTGGTAGTAAGGACATGCGACAGATGATGCATGTTAGTGATTCTAGAAATGGTCTCAGGACAAAAGCATCCAGTGTTACATGAAAAAAACTTAAAACACAGTCTCAGCTTGTGGGGCAGCTAATGTGATACTCTCATCACCTCTCTGTCATTAAAACAAACCCCCTACCAGCCATATATACTTGTTTAACTGTTCGTTCACCTATCAGTCACTTGACCTCTACCAGTCATATATAAGTAAGGTTCAAAATTATTTAACAGACTTAAGATATCTGAGTTTAATCTGATTAGTCACATTTAATATCACATACAGAAAAACAGAAAAAAATTTTTTAAGGTAAACACGTGCTTAAATATTGACAACAAATGGATAATTAAATGTATCCTTTCAGAAGAATTTATTGTAAGAAAAGAAAGGGAAAAGTATGTTTGCTTTGAAAAAATGCAAAGCCTATAAAATATCAAATTGCCATGTGGGAATAATCACAAGGGTAATCGTCAAAAAATAAGTATTGCACCTCCAGTGAAATACAAATATCCATAGCATTTCAACAGAGCACACATTTCAATAAAAATGTGAAGGTTAGTAAATTATAACTGGAGAGATAAATCAATAACCCTGTTTAGGCTGTAGGTTAAGAACAGTTCATTTCTCTCATCAGATAGATCTGCTGTGTTTTCGAGAAATACATCTTGAATATCTGTATAACAGATTTATGTTTTGAATAATGAACTTTAATTTTTTAGATGTTTTGCAAAAAATAAATCATAACACTAAGACGTTTAAGGAGCTACGCTACAAAAATAGAGTAACAAATGTAGCACTGATGTATGTTTTTGCTTTTTTTTTAATTCTTTATTTTATTAAGGCATGTGATTATGGTGGTACAGACAAAAGAGAGGGAGACTTGCAAGAGTTGTACAGGTTAGGGTCATCGTAAAAGATTACAGAAATCTCCTAGGATTGTCAACCTCATTTTATATTATATTAACAAGCTTAAACCATAGATAGATATCAGGTAGGGTATTTGCTAGGCAATGCACATTTTTTGATAAAATAGGTACATGGATAAGGTTACATGCAGGCACTATATTCTGTTCGCTATTTACTGGATACATGCTTTAAGTACTTGCACAACTGGTATGTTTAAGTAATAGGAATAGCATGCTTCAACATAGTAGGCAGAGAAGCTAGTTTACTTTTTGTTTGCATATCCCTTTTCATCCTTAGATTGATTAAAGGTAGGGCCTCCCTTCCTCATTTCTTATACATTGGAGCTCTCTTGATGTTGGTTTCACCTACTCCTATTACATCCATGGATAAGCTTTCTTGTTGGCTTTTAATTTTATATATTATATTATTTAGTTGTATTTTTTCTATTTTGTCTATTGACTCTAAAGGGACACTGCAGTCGCCAGAACAATTGCAGTTGGATGTAGTTGTTCTGGTGTCATATTCTATCTAACTAAATACCACTAGAGAGTCTCCTATCAGCGATCTCGCTATAGCAGACCATAGATAGTTACAACAAAGAAAGAGACAAGTAAGCTTGTTGTTGATGTGAAAACAAACTCCAATGAACTGCTTTATTGTATGAGCACACAGTTTTTTGACATTTACAGGCATGATACACTTGTTTGCATAATATAGTGAGTATGCAGGTACAGTAATCACAGTGGGGAAATGGTCAGAGCCAGCTCTTGCAACACCATGGGTCTCCTTGATCATCTTACTGTAAGTCTACAATAGGCAGGATGTGACACTGTTGACTCAGTCCCACCTCCCACTGTGCTGGTTTAACATCTTACAATGGCTTGCTAGGAACATTTCCTAATTCCATCAGACATTCTGGCAGCTAGCTTAGGCCATCTGAGACAAAGAGTTACTGAACACATTGCACATGCACTATTATTATTATTACTGGTATTTATATAGCGACAACTTATTCCGCAGCACTTTACAATAATTAACATAGCTGTTCCATTTTCCTCTTGTAACTCTAATTGTTACAATAAACACAGATCTACAATGTAATACTGTCCTGAGATCATCATATATCTGTCCTGATTCTCTGAGCCATATTAGTGGCGTTATGAACTACATATACTCTAGCGATGGTAACAAAATGGTGATGTGAGTATTCGATAGAAGGGGAAATAGGCAATTAATTACATCATCTAAATTTAAGTTGTATTTTCCATTCTTTTGTGATGTTTTCTAAATGCTATTGCCTGTTTAGACAGGGTGACCAGATCCACCATGTTTTCTGGGACACATATCACATATACAAATTGTTGGGCAGCACATGTAAAAGGGTAGCCCTGTAGTGTGTTGAATTTAGAAGAAGGTCGATCAGCTTAAGCATTTAGGCAATGAAGAATCCTGCAGAATATGCATTATACATACTGCAGGGCAACCCTTTTCATGTATTTTCAGAAATATGACAAAATTATATGTGTCCCTGTAAACATGGTGGATCTGGTCATGCTATGTTTAGAGGAACACTCAGGACTATGGATGTTTCTTAGATTTGCAAAAATATTAATGCAAGACCATTTATTTTCTCTTATACAGAGAAAAATGTATATCTCATTCCAGTAGGTTTTAGAGCCTTGCCCACAGTTGCCCTTTGTTTTCGAGAATGTCTGCATGCACAAACAATACAGACTAGTTATGTGAAACTAAATTGTGTTTAGTAAAATATTTAAATAAGTCCTTGTCCAAAATTTCATCCTCAAGAGTTCATCACTAGACTGCCTATAGATTCTGTTGATATAGTTTATTTGGTTTATTAAATATTTCCAATTTAAAAAATACATCGATGTGGCCCCCTTTAGTAACCAAAGCCCCACGTAACGCATTATTGACACCAGTGCGGACTCCACACCTGCCAAATACCCCGAAGACAACGGCATAACCAACCTTAACGATTACTGATGGCACAGATTGCAGCCCTGCCATAACAACCGATCTGGAAAGCGCCCTCGCCTGACCAAGGCTGCGGTCTTGCCTGGCTAATCATTTATACACATCCACTTAGGAATTGCCATCCCACCACCTTCTCAAGCAAATATTTCATAGGGCCAAGCAGACCCTCCTCATGACCTGAGCACCCTCAGGATGCCAGGGTACAATCAAACCGAGGAAAACGCCTGGCGACTAGTCACCCACGATCTCTGGCCTTAGAAATAGCCATGATCTCCAAGAGACCGGACAGCACTAAGCTCCAGAACTACTGTTTTATTATGATTTTGACACGTTGTCTTTTCACCTTTCTGTTTTGTCTCGCCAGTAACCACACTACTGACATAGATGCCAGCACATAGCAACGAGCATTACTAAACATGGTTACTGCAATCTTCGCTTACAAGTACATCATAAATGTCATACATCCTACTCACCTATCCTAGACATACTCTGTAAATCCTAAGTTTAGAACTACTGATCAGCCGGCTCAAAATGCTTTTAGCCTGTTAATTTTGTTCTAGATTGTTTTCATCTTACTATTTTTATTGCCAAGAATGACAGTACAGCCAGTACGCTTAGCCTGTATTGTTTGCATCTACTCAGTGCCAGCTAGCAGATATAACGAGGTTCTCAGTAGTATAGTCCCCCTCAAGTGAGTATAGTTAATTAGTGATGTCCCGAACGGTTCGCGAACGGTTCGCCACGGACTCATCATTGAGTAAACTTTGACCCTGTACCTCACAGTCAGCAGACACATTCCAGCCAATCAGCAGCAGACCCTCCCTCCCAGACCCTCCCACCTCCTGGACAGCATCCATTGTGAAGCAGCATTCTTAGTGAGCTGTCCAGGAGGTGGGAGGGTCTAGGAGAGAAGGTCTGCTGCTGATTGGCTGGAATGTGTCTGCTGACTGTGAGGTACAGGGTCAAAGTTTACTCAATGATGAGTCCGTGGCGAAGCGTTCGTGGCGAAGCGTTCGGCGAACTGTTCGGTTCATCACTATAGTTAATACATAGTTCGTACGTCAAGCCAAACACTATTGATTCATACATCGAACCTAGCTTCATTGGTATACCGTATACCCCAGAAGATATTAGTCCTAACTTTGCCCTACCAATACAGATAACGATAGTCAATCTACAAGTCGCTTTTTTTCTCAGGCATACTCAGCAGTTTAACCCATCGCGACGTAGAGATAATTCTACAGTACTGTGTTTTTAGCTAATCTCGTTTATTACTTTCATCAACAATAAGATTGGCTATAACTCTCTGTTAAGCGATAATAATTAATTCATAAAAATGTGCTATGTTTTCTAATGCCTAACCAATGCAAACTTATGTCTGCATGCCCTAGCTGTTATGGCAGTGTGCGCTGTATGTAATTTTCCCTGAACAAATAAAATAAAGAATTTAAAAAAAAACTACATTGCATTTTTGTTCAAAATTACATCATTTAATTTTCCTATTTTATTACTTAAAATTTTAGATAGGCTTTTATTTTTATTTTATTTTTTTAAATATAGCCTTTAAAGGAATTACATAAACAGCTGTCTGACTTTTTTAATTTCAGCATAAATTGGTCTTCCTATTTGAAAACCTAGATATGCAATTTATCTCTTGATAACTAATCCATTTGCAGTCAATTACCATTTGGCTGCAAGCCCATTGTGTTGGTTACAAAATCTTTGGATTTATTTACAAGGGAGCTGTGATAAATAGACAACGGTATTGAAAAAATTGGGACAAAATAGCTGAGTTGAAAAAATAGCTTGATTGTAGAATTTTTCTAGCTCACTTATTTTGGCCTGAATATTGCAATCCTCTTATAAATTAATTATAATAAGCTGTTTAGTGAGTAAACTTTTTCTGAGTTAAAGCAGTAGAATTGGCAAAGACTCTCGACTACGACATCACCACTAGTGGTCCGGTGGCCGACGGAGGCAAGTAAAGGTGAGTTTTTTGTTACCTGAATCTGTCCCTTTTAGTGGGTCCTCTTCCGATCCTTTATTCCAATGCACATTTCAGGAACAAGGGTCTTTATTCAAGCTGCTAATCCATATGTATTGTTTTAGTTTTTTTGTTTGT